TGTCTGAAAAGCTTTAGTTCTGTTTTGCTGGAAAACCACCTTCAGCTAATTCTGACCAGGTGCAATACAAAGAAAAATAGGAGCTGGAGATGGCACAAGATTTTCATCAGTGACCTCAAATTATTACTTTTAATCCTACCAGTGTTTGATTAAGTGATTTAGATGTGCTAAAAAGCTTCCAGTTAGGGATGTGTTAGCTGTGGCTGCTTTTGTCAGTCAGCTCTTTGTTTTCGCACATTTTAGTATTTTTTGAAACGACATTCTGGCAAATAAATACATACTTGAAGGATCAAATACTATTACACTGCAAACTGTCAGCCCTTATCAGCTATGCAGTCATTCATTCTGTGGAGGCAGAAACGTGTCGAAAAGGCAACAGTAGCTGAAAACCTAAAGAAAGAAATCAGCTGGAGGACAGTCGGCTTCGTATGCCAGACAGACTGGGACATCAAACAGACTGCTGGTCTACAGCAGAATCAAAGCAATGTTATTTTTCTAGGCGGTGCACTGTACAAGTACTGAAGTACTATTTTTAATCCATGGGTAGAATTTGCAGTCTGTGGTAGTCGTCTTTATTTTATCAGTGTTTGTGCTGTGAAACCTGAATATGGACAAATTGTGATTTATGATACTCACTGTAAGGGCTGTAGCTTTAAAATACAGAAAATGGTCTTTAAAGAAGTTTGACCATTTCAATGGTCTGTTGGAGAAACTGCTTCTCTGCTAAGGTTTCAGACTGGAGAAAACCAGAAAAAAAGAGCTCCAGTATAGCAATAGTCTACTTTTTCTCATATGAGCTTAAATAACTTACGAGGTTGTAGTGTTTTCATGTGCAACTTTGAACAGCCGTGGTAAGACTGCATGCTGTCTGACACACAGCTCCATCAGATCACCGGACCAGTTCACCACTGCAGCACCAGACAACAGGGCTGTAATTATTAAACAGAGAGGAACAAAGGCTGATGGCTAGGGGCAGACTGATAAATACACAAAGACAGAAACAGGCTTGTGCGAGGATAATAAGGTAGACAGACAGATAGTTACCAGAGCACCAGATGGATGGGCAACCGGACAGGTTGACAAATAGCAAGGCTGTCAGAATAGCAGTTTAGAAATACCTTAAACTGGGCTCCACTATACCAGCAAAACTGATTTTCCAGGGAAGTATTCAAATTGTGCGTTCTCTGAATGTGAAGAATAAAGGTATATGAAAAAATGCCACTGTCCTTATTCTATTTCTTCCTTTTCTTATTAATGTGATTGGCAGACTACATTAGAGTGGATGGGTAGTAAGGGCTTGTAGTTGCTGTGGCAACGGCCTGCTCTTTGTTAAAGGCTATATTCCCGTCATCTGATGTGTCTGCGCTGTGATCGATAAAAACCCAGCCTGCAGGGACTGATGAATGGACTGGGGCTTTTGCCAGGCCAGGCAGGACCTGGGAGAGAAAAAGAGTCAGGGGGAAGATGTGTGAACAGGAGGACGGAGAGATAAAACAGCGATAGGACGAGGAGATGGAGATGTGAGCGGTGCGGCTGCTGAGCCGGGCGGAGGGGTGAGCACTGTGGGAAAGACAGAGTGTGTGCTCTGCGGTTTCTTCTGCCTCATCTTGACTATTTTTTGAGCATCACTCACTTCGCTATCAAAGTCAGGTACGTGTCTGTCTGTACGCTCATCATTTTCTTACCTTGCCAGGGTTTTGCTTTGCAGTGATGGACAGAGCTTGGTGAGCAGTCAGAAGGATTTTTAAAGGCGCCTTTCATACTTCTAGCATTTTTCTTTGCCTTTATGGTAGTGCATTGACATTTCTGCTGCTCTCAGATGTGTCTTACATTTTGCACACCTAATTGGCAAAGACAGACATGAGCAGAATGCAGATCCTACTGGTAATGATGGTAGCGATGGTCAGTCCCTCTGTCTACACAGCCATCTGTCAGTTCAACAACCTGTGGCTGCTGGAGGCCGTTTTTCTGTCAAGGTCTGTGTCTTTTTGAGCTGTGGAGACACATGGCATAATGTCTTACAGATGAACTCTATCCTTCTCTCATTACCCCGTCTTTACTTCTGCTTTACCCTGTGTGGTAGCTGGGAGAAAAACAGAAAGCAAAACAAAACTCACAAATCAAATGAACTAACTGTGAAAGACACTATAAAAGCTATCAGAGAAATGTTCAATAATTCTAAAATACTCAACAACAAGGATAACGTAATGTGCCTCAAAGTTATTTTCATCGTATTTATTGGTTTGCCCATGTTAAGTGCAGTTCTCCTGCCATACCAATATTTTACCAGAGACAATCACAATGGCAGCAGCAGTGTTACACTGCTTTACAGTACAGACTGGGATTTAGCCTGCAAGTAGTGTGCAAACATTAAAGAGCAGATGGATTTAACACAGGATCAAACTTACTGTGACTCATCGCTGTGGAAAAGCTGGATCGTTTCAGGAACAAAAGTTAAACAAATATGTGCAATATAAAGATGCAGTAATTTGCAGTAACAAGCAGGAAATGGAAACCAGAAGAGCAATGAAGCAACGATGCAAAAAGAAACTGAGGATAATGTGAATGTATTCATCTGTTATTGTCACAGTATGTGTTCATAGCTTGCCTTTTTCTTGCTGGTAATTAAATTGTAAAAAAGTTTCAACATCTTAGTGGTATAGAAATTCAGTGTATTCTGTAAAATAAAACAACAAGCCAGTGCAATCACGCAGTATGTTGATTACTTATTAAGGAGTCTTATGTATTTGTTTCCATTCAGTTGACTGGGGTTTTGTGTGTGTGTGTGTGTGTGTGTGTGTGTGTGTGTGTGTGTGTGTGCGTGCAGGTCTCTATTTATGGGTACTTTTATCTTACTTTT